TAAATCACATCAAACAAATATATTTCTTTAAAAATAAAAAAGGAAAAGGAAAAAAAGAAACGAATGGAAAATGTCGTTCTTCTTTTCTATTTATCATTTTCCTTTTTTTTAATTGTATTTTAAAGCAAAATAATAGGTTGACAAGAATACCTTTGCCTCAAGTGGCCATTTCACAAAAGTTTGGATGATTTATGTAGTGAAAAGATATGTTTGCAATTGCATAGGTTCGGAGATCTCAAAATTTGGAAATTTTTGATTGGGATCTACATGGTCCTAGTGACATTGTTTAGGAAGCTTAACTGCAACTTTTACAATTCTCAAACGTGTATAAGGCACGTTGATGAAACATTCATTGATGGTATGCATGTTTGACATGTATAAAATACTGACACTCGTAAAAAACTTGCGACAAGCCAAGCGGTGTATCATCTTTTAAAATTAAATTTGATGAAGTATGACTAATTGATTGAATATCTACCTAATTTCATGTAATTATATATCGGAGATCTCAAAATTAGGAAAATTTTGATTGGCATTTACATGGTGCTAGTGACAATATCTAGGAACCTTAATCGCAACTTTTACAACTCTCAGACGCGGGTGAGGCATGTTGATGAAACATTCATTGCGTGTCAAAAATTTAAAAAGATGATACACCGCGTGGCTTGACACATGTATTCCACGAGTGTCAATATTTTATACATGTCAAACATGCATGCCATCCACATGGGTTAGCATTCCTTTTGCGTCGAACATTTAAAAACAAATATATGAAACCATGATTCATCATGATAAATGTGTTTTACACACTTAAGTCGCCTTCTAAATTTGATGAAGTATGACTAATTGATAGAATATCTACCCAATTTCATGTAATTATATTAATTGTAAGTAAAATTTGACTTGGAAGTGCGATTTCTATTAATTGAATTTACATAGTAGTTAATTTTGGAAGTGTGATTTCTATTTATTTTACTTTTAGTATTTTATCTTAAGGAGATCGTGAATTAGGATGGAGATTGATGCAATTGTGTGATGTCAAAAGAGGATTGGAGGAAAAAACGAGGGAACAAGAAGAATGACAAGAAATTCATTTTAGGGATCAAAATGAATAAAATTATAAGTTTGGGGAAAAATAATAGAATTCAAAAGTTCAGGGACCAATGCTACGAAATATGGCTAATTTTTAACAACTTTTTGTGTCAATTTTGGACGATTTTCTACTCTTTCGTTCTCATTTTTCAAGACTTTTTTGGGATTTTCTTTAAGACATTCTTAGAGATGAAATTGAGAGAAAAATGCAAGAATTCAAGCTAGTATGCCGTTTCAACCTTGGGGCAATATTGATAAGTTCTTATCTTTTTCTTATACTAGTGAGTGCATGTGCATTGCACGTGTAGTTGGTGATGTAGTGTAAGTAATAATGTTGGATTTTGGTTTTGGGGGATTTCAGTGGAAAATAAAACCTACTTTGAATGAAGATTTCATTGGATTATATAAATTTTGTGTCCACTGATATTTTCATTCTCGGTGGTAATACTAAGCCAAAAATGGAGTTGTTTCATGCCATGCGTGGATACCTGAGTTTTAACATATTTATCTTCGGTAGTTTATTATAACTTTTTTCATATCATTTCCTTTAATGCTCAAATTCTTTGTGCTTTTCAACACTTATTTTTGCTCTTCATTCATTCATGGTTGATTGTCAAATAATCTAACATCAAATACATCGTATCTCATCCTATTCCTACATTTGACACAAATCACACAACTTAACCATTTAATTTAAGATTAACAATCCACTAAAATACTTTTTTTCAAATGCCAAAAAAAATATCTCTTACATTACAATTCTTTTCTGTCACCTCTTATTAAATCTCATCATACCATCTTTAACTTCTTTTTCTTTTTTTTTTTTTTTAAGGGAACACAATTCAAGCTACATTATTCGAGAACATCTCACAGCTTTTCAAGGCACCTTACTACCGCAGAAAGCATACCTCATTTTAAATGTACAAGTTAAAGAAATGGATAAAAATTATAGAGCTCAAGTTAGAAGCGTCTGATGGACAATCAATGCAAAAACCAGCATTGTTGAAATTAAGTGCCCGTTTGCCCCATCATTTCACATTATAATGAGATGAATAGTAATTTTTTTTTGGAGAATGTACGGTTAAAAAAGAAGAACACATTTTTGGGTTTACGTGTATAATTAATAAGAAGAGAGAGAAAAATGAATTATAATTTAATGAGGAATAGTGACGACCGAACGGAGGCTAATGAACAGAAGGAAAACTTATCCAACACACTTCCAAACGGCTCGGCTACCGCGACTCACTCCAATAAAGCTCGGCTTAGATGGCCAATGGCTTATGAACAGTAACCAAAACCCACTCTTTTATATTTAGTTAGATAGATATCTATTTATATACAACTATTTTAATTTGGATATTACAATGATGATGAACTTATTTCTTAGAGAAAATAATGTTGCCTAATCAAAACCGTTGATTTTATTTATGAAGTTTTGATTTTGATTTGATATTGATTTGTCATTTTGATTTTGTAGTGATATAATTGATTTTCAGGCTAATAATTAATTAATCAGTGTATGGTAATGAGTCGAGAGGTAAATTGTTGTTAAGACTAAGTAATAAAAATTGCTAATTTTAATAGAAGCTAGGAATATACTTCTATGGTTGTTACAATCGTTAAATAGATTTTTTGATAATTAAACGTATTTAAGCAAGTTGAAATTCACGTAGAGATATAACGAATTTACTTATTTAAGTAAAATTGATTTTTTTAAAGAGGTTTTCAATATATTTGAAAAATTTAACCCATACATTAATTTCATGGCTTTGTAGGTAAAATCATTTGGGGATAGTTATGCTGAAATAGTTTATCATAAAATATTTTCTCATCCCTTTTAACTTTTAAAATGACCTCTTCTTGGCTCCAAGTCTCCATTTGAACGACTTTTCTCTCAAGTCCCAGATTATATTATGCTTAAGAGTTTCGGGTGTGCTTGCTTTCCTCATTTGGTACCATACAACAAACATAAACTTGCTTTTAAATCCACACCATGCGTATTTCTTGGATACACGGCTCACTACAATGGATATCATTGCCTTGACATGACAAGTGGTCGAGTCTATATTTCACGGAATGTTATTTTTGATGAAGCAACCTTTCCATATGCTACAAACTCATCTCCAAGCACGACATCCATGCCAACTGGGCCTTTATCTCCTACAGCATTAAGTGAGAATTTAATTAGTCCTCATGATATTTATCTCCCAACCACTAGCCCATACGAAATTTAGCCTATTTCCTCCTCCCGATCAAGCCCAGTGGATACCTCTAGTGGACTTCCCTCTCATTCAGGTTCCTCTTCCGCGCACGGGCCTTATTTTTCCTGAGTTAAGTATACACTCTCCTCCCCAAAACTCTTCTTTGGATCTATCTTCACCTCACATAGAAACCATCCAAGCTTCTCCATCTTCCTCTCCCAACTCTCTGAACCCCCCAAAAAAATTCTGTTCCCTCACATCCTTGTACTCCCAAACCAGTCCTCACCCCTTGTCCCTTACATTCTCTACTATATTTTCCAATCCTTTAAATCATGAACCCACCAGTTTTACAGTTGCTGCTCAGTATACTCATTGGAAATCTGCTATGACCGATGAGTATGATGCTCTCATGCGTAATAACACATGGTCGCTAGTTTCGGCATCCCCTTCTATGAATGTTGTGGGTTGTAAATGGGTATTTAAAGTAAGCGAAAATCAGATGGGACCATCGACTGCTACAAGGCACGTCTTGTGGCCAAGGGATTTAATCAAAAGGAAGGTCTTGATTTTGATGAAACATTTAGTCCAGCGGTTAAACCAGCTACGATTCATACCATTCTTACACTTGCTACTTCCTACGGCTGGCCACTTCAACAAATTGATGCTCGAAATGCCTTTTAAAATGGGGTCCTACAAGAAGAGGTCTATATAAAGCAACCCCCGGGTTATCATGATCCTTATCGGCCTCACCATGTTTGTGCCTTCATAAAACTCTCTACGACCTTAAACACGACCCCCATGCTTGGTTTCAACGTCTTCACTCCTTCCTATTGAACCATAAGTTCACTCGCAGTTGTGTTCGTGGTCGTTGTACAAGTAATAAAATATGTGAGTTAAGAGTATCGTTTCCAGAAGGAATAAGGTCTAATTTGTAGTTCAATAGTTACTATTAAATTCGAAGTATGAT